TAAGTATTTTTCAGCTCTACCTGAGCCCTTGACCTGTATAGCTACCTACAGAGTTCCAGTCCTTTCCTTCCCACTAGGATATACAAACCAAAACTCACTCTTTTGAGGATGGGGGATTTTTATTTGAAGTTTCTAAGACTTTAGAAACATCTTCATCTGGAGAAAGTTAGCCCCTATTTTTTTTAACTCCGGTGATACAGTTCCAGTGTATATGTGATCTCACCTGACTTTTTTGGATAGGACATTTAACCTACTATTCTCTAAGATGCTCGATGGTGATAGTAGCAATCTGTTTCAAAACCAGCCGAATGACCCTTTTACAAAAAAAAAAAATGAGCATCCCCTCTGTGCTCAAAAACAGTAAATTAGGGGCAAGAGCATGGAAAATCCCACCTAATGGCCTAAAAGCCCTACATCATGCAGACATTGTTTTGCTTTAGGGTCAGGAACATAGTACAACAGGGAATGGGCTTGCCTTGTATGAGGTCAACTGGATTCAATGCCCGGCATCCCGAATTATCCCCAAACCCTGCTAGGAGTATTCCCTAGGTGCAGAGTCAGGAATATGTCCTGAGCAACAGGAGGTGTGACGCCCCTCTCCTCACCCTACCCCCACCCCCACCCCCACAAAAAAGCAAAAAATAGTTTTGCTTTTATCTGAGCTAGAACAAGTACCTAAGCTTAGTGGGGGAGGGGGGAGTATTGCTCTGAAGTTGGAGGTGGACAGGGAGGGGAAATAAGAAAAAGGGCCATGTTCAAGTTATACGATTAGAAAGATTAAAACAGCTATTAAGTCTGGCTGAAGAGATAACTGAGCAGATATGTGGACCTGTAGTTTGCACATCACGTGTACAAGTGTGTGTTGGAAAAAGAAAACAGGCCCTTGTAAGGATATGAAGAACATGAACATGTTGGGTAGATGAGAACTCAGATGCCTTGATCAGAGCAGATGCTTTCCCATTTCCCCCATCATTCTTCAAAATGATATCTTAAACGAACTAACGAACTTAGCCTTGGCCAAGCAGACAGCTCATCTTCAAACAGTTAATATTTAGATAGCTGTGATCCTGAACTAGCCAAGCAAACATTCCCAAACCGAGTCCTTTGTAATACCTTTAAATGCAAATATGTTTTAGGGCTGTTTTTTTTTCTTGGCAAAGATGTTTGCTAAAATTTCTAAAAGCAGTTATGCTTTGGCAAAGAATGCGTTTCAGTCTTAAAAGAACACAACTATGCTTTTCAGCCATCCAACAAAAAAACAAAAACCAAAAAAAATGTAGAAGCATCACATAGCAACTCGCTGGCAGTCTTGCTGTGTCCCAGTTTCTGTGCAAGAGGCTGTGGAAAACATATGGTCTGGCCTAACAAGCCCATTAAGTTAAGACATGTCTAATCCCCTCCTTTTTTTTTTAACTGAATCACTCTGAGATACAAAGCATTCATGTTTGAGTTTCAGTCATACAATGATCGAACACCCATCCCTCCACCAATCCCATCCTTTAATATAAAGAGAACCATCGTTATCTATTGCATGTTATTCCTTAAACTGTTACTTGCATTCAGCTGCATATATGGAAATCACTGTCACTGTCACTGTCACTGTCCTCCCGTTGTTCATCAATTTGCTCTATTGGGCCCAGTAACATCTCCATTGTGACACTTGTTACTGTGTTTGGCATATCGAATACGTCAAGGGGAGCTTGCCAGGCTTTGCCGTGCGGGTGAGATACTCTCAGTAGCTTGCTGGGCTCTCCAAGAGGGGCAGAGGAATTGAACCTGGGTCAGCCGGGTTGGCCGCATGCAAGGCAAACGCCCTACACGCTGTGCTATCTCTTCATCCCATACAGAAATCAGGAGAGAATAATGTTGCCCACGTTGCTAGATGATAGGAATCACTGTGGGTGAGCCTTAGGTTCATGAGCTTCTGACTCAAACTAGACCCTGCACTCAGGAGTAGCTTACTTTTGAAGTTTAATATCTCGCGTTTGTGTTTTTGAACTCAATTTCATGAGACAATGGAGCATGCACGGGGTTCATGGAACCACAAATCAGTACAATCTTACCTCTCACTCTCTCCAGGACTGGGTTCTTGACCTCCCATTCCTCTACTCCCCCCTGCTTCCCCCCTCACCAACCCAATCACCACCACCATCTCCAAACTTGCCTCCCCCCAGTATATTTCCCTCCTCATCCCCACCCAACTACCATGGCTGTCCTCCTCCTGTACAAGTACAGGAATGGTTGAAGCTGGGTTCACACAGTCTATGCCATCTTGGAGGAGAAAGGCCACATAATATTTCAGGAGCAGAAATGTGTCCTAGCACATTTGTAGGGTGACTGCGAAAGGGTGGGGGGGAAAGTAGGTTTCTTTCTCCACCCTTTTCCGACACCGAAAGGTGTGCAATTGACAGTCTATTGAGAATCACCCCTCCATTGTCCACTATAACTGAAGACCAAAAGGAAGGTTAAGATTGCTTTACCTGGAGTCGGAGTGATAGGAGAGTGGGTAGGGTCTTTTCTTTGCATGTAGCCAAGTTGGTTTCCGTCCCCTGCACCACATACGGTTCCCTAAGCTCACCAGGAGTAATCCCTGAGCACCACTGGGTATGGCCTCAGAAGTCAAATCTAAAGAGACTGCTTTATCCTCCCTGCCGCTAGGGCAAAAGACATCTGTCCAGTATAGGTAGGAGGTGGTTCTGGAAGCTGAAGAATGCTTGCGTACTAAATTGTAGTGTGCAGGTCCTGGGCACCTGTGAAAATCTATACTCGTCCCACAAATATACACATGTCTCAGGGAGCAAAATATTAAAAAGATAATTAAAAATACCACAACAGTTTGCTAGAGGCCACCGAAGAACAGGAAAGGTTTTGTATTTTAGTAGCTTCAAGAGCATACCATTCTCCTCCCCCATCACCCCCACCACAAACTAGCTTTTGAGAAAGGACTCTCATTTTCATTTTGAACCAAATCTCATTGACTATATAGCCAGATCTGCCTGGAATTAGCACTTTGAAAATATAAAGATTACTGAGCTTTACAGATTCTGTAACAGAATTTTTCAAACTTGGTTATGTCCTAGGAACATTCCAGAGATCTTCATTGTTTTTCTCATTCCCACCCTTACCAAACATTTAGATTAAGCCTGGGTGAAATCCCACATCTGCATTTTACTAGTATCTCAGATGATTCTACTGTCATTGTTTCCAGACTTAGAGGAAGTGCTTAGGAACATAAATTCTGAAAGAGGACAGATTGGGGTTTGCTTCTGAACTCTAAATCACCTTGGGAGAAATAATGTGCATATCTAAACCTCAGTTTATCCAAAACTATGCTTTAGTCTCATTTTGTAAATTGTGGTGAGTGCACTGATATTAACTGTATCTTTATTTGCCTTGCACGCAGGCTGGCCTGGCCAACCAGAGTTCGATTCCTCTGGAGACAGAGCCTGGCAAGCTACCGAGAGTACCTCACCCACAAGGCAAAGCCTGACAAGCTCCCCGTAACTTATTCGATATGCCAAACACAGTAACAATTCTCACAATGGAGACGTTACTGAGCCCGCTCGAGCAAATCAATGAACAACCGAAGGATAGTGACAGTGACAACTTTTCAAAATGAAATGACAGCCAGAATGAAAGAAGCTTGTGTATGGAAAAATAAAAGCTTTGGGTATAGGCATACAGAATAATATAGAAAGGCTCACAATGAGACAGCCCCATAGATCTATTGGAGGCCTATGCATTCCTGTCTAGAACTTAGTAGGTGCTCAGTAAATTAATGCCAAAGAAAGAACATACTGCCTTTTTTATTTTAGGCACCTTGATTTACAATACTGTTAAGGGTAGGGTTTCCCCCACAGTTCTCCAACGTAGTTGCCTTGTTTCCCACCCCCCACCCCAGCCTAGTTCTTTTGAATAAGCTGTAAAGGACTTCTCACATTTACACTTAAAAGATTTTAACCTTTCCCCCCACCCTCCCCTGGTTTCTGAATAGGTATTAGCCTGGAGGTCTGTGTGCTTTAAAGGATCTCTCTAGTAGGTTCCCACAAAGGGTTTATCAAATGATGACTGCACCCTCTAGCGTTTGCACTTCTCAGCTTTCTCCCTGAAGCTCGGGATCAAGACCCTTACTCTTTCTAGACCCTTACTCTTTCTAGATGTGAAATTCTCCAAGTTGATGGACCCGTGAAAGGGTAAAAATATTTATATCCACTGTGAGCAGTGAACAATTAATGAAATCGTTGACTGGCCAGTTTTTCAATGCCAACGTTCAAAGTGGCACTCAAACATTTTTACCCACTTTGTCCCCAAACCAGGACCTACTAAGTGAAACTCTTTAAAACAAAGGTGATTCAATAAAATTAAAAAAAAAAACCAAAGGTAGCCCAGCCAGGGGGAGTGTAATCTAGTTATAGGAGCATGCAAGAAATGAAAGAATGCACTCAACAACTGAGTATCCTAAGTACAACCTTTAAAGAAGATTGGTCTCATTTAATAATTTGTCAGTTTCAAAAGAGCTTGGAAAGATCTCTTAAAAACATCCGAGGTTTTGTTTTCTTCTCTCATATAACCTGTAGCAATATTTCTGCACGCAGAAACTAAGACTAAGTAATTATTGTTTTCAAGTTGTCACGTGAGTATATTTCTGAAGGTAACTGCCATTTCCCCATGAACTATTCATCCCATGGTAGACTCTGACTCAACTGAAAAAGAAATCCAAAGGCCCCAGATCACCCAAAAGAAGTCACTCCTCATATTTGCCTCATCTAGAGCTTCTGGCTCTCGTTGCATCTTCTTTTCAAGATAGTTACGTAAATGGCTTTTTTGATTGTGCTCCAGCAACACTAATTCATCTGTAAAACTGACACTTTCCAGAAACATTCCAATTCTTACAGCACCTAGAAGCCAACTTTGGGCTCATTCCTATAAACAGCACACATACTGATTTCAATCTAGATCAAGTATATTATATAGTAAGTTTCACAATTTTGTTTCCATAGGTTCTCTTGAATGGTAAAGTTGCTGCATTCTGTGGAGGTTCCATCATTAATGAAAAATGGGTCGTGACTGCAGCACATTGCATCGAACCTGATGTTAAAATTACTGTGGTGGCAGGTAAATAAAAAAAGAATATTGATCTGCAGCATCACTAGATCTGCTAGATATTTAGTATATCATATTTTACCGATAGAATATTATAGAATCATTGTTAAACAAGTAGGACAAGTGGCAGAAGGGCCATATTTGCTTTTCTTTGGGGGGGGGGAAGGGTTTGTGCCATACCTGGTGGTGCTCAGGAGTGTCCTCTGCCAGTGCTCAGGGAACCATAAGTGGTGCCAAGATTCAAAGTGAGCTCTACAGGATACAAGGAAAGCAACTTAACCCCTGTACTATCTCTCTGGCCCTGCGGAAGGCTAGATTTTCAAAACCAACTTGTTCCATTCTCTAATTTCCCATGCTCTTTTGGTGGTCCTTTATTTGCACTCACCTCAGTGGGGTACAATTATTCATTGATGTTTTCATTTCTCCACAAGACTTTATGTTCCCAAACGTTGTGTCCTATGAATATAATTTGTATCTCTGGAGCCTGGCACCATCTGCAGGAATACCTCAGCTAACATTGGTATGAAAGAGTGTATTATCTGTATGCATCAGCTAGTTGTATGACATTTGTATGAAAGTGTTTATTATCTGTGTACCAAAAGAGAGTCAAAATCCCTGAAATTAGGAAAGTCTAGATCATCCATGACAGGTAGACTCATTATCATTATATAAAATTTTTAACAGCACGGGTGACCAGGGCCATAATTTCCAGGATGTATCTGAAATGTTTTCTTGATCTAAAAAATGTGCATGGCCTCTCATGACAATATCACATTAAGGTACTTGATACTAGACTGACAATTACTTCAGTGACTCTGAGTGGATCTTTGGGGAAAAATATCTAACTTTATGTGCAATACTATTTGTAGCTAATGAGATATTTACTTTCAATAGGCAAAAACTAAGCAGCTAGCTAAGTGGATGAGGCTGGGTAGACATAACGAAAATGTGTTTATGGGGAAAAACTGTGACTTGAAAAGACATTTACTTTCAACAGGTGAACACAACATTGATAAGATAGAGCATACCGAGCAAACACGAAAAGTGATTCGAGCTATTCCTCACCACAACTACAATGCATCATTTAATAAGTACAGCAATGACATTGCTCTTCTGGAATTGGACAAACCTTTAATACTGAACAACTATGTAACACCTATTTGCATTGCTGACAAAGAGTATACAAACATCTTCCTCAAGTTTGGATCTGGCTTTGTGAGTGGCTGGGGAAAAGTCTTCCACAGAGGGAGATCAGCTACCATTCTTCAGTATCTTAAAGTCCCTCTTGTAGAACGTGCCACATGCCTTCGCTCTACCAAGTTCACCATCTATAATAACATGTTCTGTGCTGGCTACCATGAGGGAGGGAAAGATTCTTGCCAAGGAGATAGTGGGGGACCCCATGTTACTGAAGTGGAAGGTGTCAATTTCTTAACGGGAATTATTAGCTGGGGTGAAGAGTGTGCAGTGAAAGGGAAATATGGTATATATACCAAGGTATCCCGGTATGTTAACTGGATTAAGGAAAAAACAAAGCTCACTTAAAGAAGAATGTATTTCTATGGTAGACATATTTGACATAGAAAACAGATAAGATCCCTAACTAATGACATTGAGATCCCTTTAGAATTGAATTCAGACATTCTGTGACTACTGCTTCTTCTCTTTACAGGGAAAAGTCTATCTAGAATCCTTCTATAGTAGGATAAGTAGAATAAGAAATGCAATCATTAGTAGACCGTATGATAGAAAACCACAACTGTTCTTATTGGTCTGGTTCTTGACAAAACCACGAAGTTCTTTGTTCTACCCATCAGAGTGATGTGTCTGCTCCACGTGTCAATTCCCTAATTCTACTCCCCTACAAAAAATCCTTGGCTTCATATATTTCTTGGCTCTACCACCAAAACATCATCTGTATCCAAGGTATTGGACCTAGTCCTTTGTAAGACCAGCACTAGGCTAAAAAAAAAAGAACATGAGTAGCTGACAGATCAGAACTCATCAGAGACACTAATTCCTTTTGCTCTAACCTCATTCCCAGATCCTTTAGCTTTTTTTTTGTCTCTATCCCCAAATCCATTTCTCTCTTTCTGCCTCCCTCCCTTTCTCTATTTTGCAGCACAAGTATCAAAGCAGGGAAAAGTGGCCTCATACTGTTGAACTGCATTTGAAACTATGTCTCTCACTGTGATTCAGTTAAAAATAAATTAATTCATTTTAAACTACTTTTAAAAATAAAATACTGTTGAAATGCTATATACATACATGTGTAGTATACCCTACCGTGGTCTTGGTTCAGGATTGGGCTTGATTTCAGAGCACAGGAAAGAGGAGCAGTGCCTGAAGAATGTGGGTTGGAAGAGTTACATCATTATGTACAATGCATACACCTTGGAAGGACTGAACCATTGAAATAGTTTCCTTACAGTGTTTTTGTTGTTACAGCACAGTGACCAGAGGGGTGCCCATGGAAGCTACTAAGTCACTGTGACTAGAAAGCACACATTAACCCAGGACTATAGCCCCTGTCTGAAATGATTTTAAAAGTAAGAAGACAATATTTACTTTGCTACCTATAACTAGTATATCGTTCAGGGAAGAATTAACCTAGAACTGTCTATTGATGAGGAACATATTTCCCAGCCTAAAGAACATGAGCATTGTGTCTCCTAAACTGGTGCATCCCCAACAGCAGGGAAGTGGTACTCAGTTCCCAGAAATGAGTCATTCCAATGACTCAACCAACTCCCTCTTTTCTGGTTCTGTGCTCACCAAACAACTTCATTGGTAATAATTAGACCATCTGCATTGAATTTTCTGGAAGTTGGCTGACCAACTATCATACCTGATCTAGTAGGGATTTTTCTCCTTATTAGTGAATAAAGTACCCTGGTTTATACCTTGGCTTGGGCGAAATTTGATTGACATCCATCAGTCTTTGTATATTCTTTGTATAATTGTGTGAAGGTAGAACAAATATCAAAATTATGTTTAGAACACCATTTTGACGCTCACCACCCCTAAGCTACTTTTCCCAGCCCTCAATTAACCCTCACTCAGGCCTTACTCTTGCTGATTTCCTTCAAGTTATTCTAGTTAAGTCTAGCTTACATAATTCTTTCAAACATAAGCATCAATAAATTTATTTTTAAGTTTCCCAAAATGTTTCTTATTGACTCATTCACAGAGACGCTTCCCAAATGCAACATTCAGCAGAACACTCAGAAGAATGTGTTCAAACACAACACAACACAGCAGATTTGTTGCTCTGCAAGCCCCCAGCTTTCATATGAGGTTGCGTGTGCCATGTCCTAGAGACAACTGTGGTCCAGATCCACCTGAGACAGAATGGAGTCTAAATAGCTTTGAGCTTGACTTGGATAAGTCATTCCAAAATTTCTGCTTTGATTTTTCCATTTTTGCAAAAAGAAAGTTTGACGGTATGGTCCCCAAAGGCTTTTGTTGACCTTGAGTGTCTACGAGTTCATGTTCCCTCATTTCTTTATTTAGCAAAATATTCAGGGAGTGATCACTGTGTGACAAATACTAATTATGTTCATTGAAATTTAATTCACATGTATTTATTCTAAATTAAATAAAATGACGCATGAAGCTTGCTGGGGGATGTAAATTGTTTATTGTTTGTTCCTATGACACTACTACACAATGACTGCTAAATAGTTTAATTTAAATCCATGTTTATTCCAGAGTATTAATAAGTCCTAGATTGATGATCTTGAAAAAAGGCAATATTTAATTAAAAATAGAGTGGGACCGATGTCTTATGAACAAATGAAGTAAATCAGTTCAGTTATTATTAGCTACAGGAGGGAAAGAGCAAGACACTATAGTCTGTCTTTGGTTTAGAGAAAATACAATAATTCATGCATGGAAACATGTTGCTTCAAATTTGAATCACTAAAGGTGTCTAGTCCCAGCACATAAAAGTGAAACACCTGTTGCCATGGAAACCACCCCTTACAAAGGCAGCCGTGAGGAAGTGGCCTTAAACCTCCTGTGATTGGTCTTCTTGGTGACAGAGAGAGATGCTCTGGGGCCCATATATCTCTTATCCATAGCTATCCTTCTCACTACTAGCTTGAAAATGACCAAATTCATCCTGGGCCACCTGCAACATGTTGTTACCACTAAACATTTGGGGTCTTTAAGCCCTCCTAAGAACCAGTAGTTTCCAAACCAGGCTCTCTCTAGATTCAACCTAGTGAATTTGCAGATGCCATATAAGAATCATTAGTGCTCTCCAAATCGCTGTAGCTACTTAACCTAAATGGGCGAAAACATGCTGCTACAAGATTGGAAGTGACAGATTAAAATAGAACTCTTGCTGAGTGAAGAAAGGTGTATTTGTATAGTGCACTCTTTTAAACTTGCTGTCTAAATATGATTGCTTTGGGTTCTTTTGAATATTAGTTGCTTTAGGATGATGGAAACTAAATATTGTACAATTTTTTAATCAAGGGAATCATGACAGAACAGTTCCCCTAGAATGTTTTCTAATCATTTCTAAGCAACTTCTGAATGTTTGCAGGCTAGTCTAAGAACATCAGAGTTGTAAGGGCCATTTGACACCATCCAAACTACTTTGCTCATTTAACAGAGGAGGAAATTGAGGCCAAGATAAGGTCAAGCTCAAAGTAATGAGCACAATGGCAAAGTCAGAACTGGGGTTCAGGTGGCCTATTCCATATTCTGAAATAAATGTGTTTTCTGTGTGGGCAGCATCTGTATTTTTTTCAGGCAGCTGGGGTATTCTGCATTGGTGACAATCCCTTCATTCAACCTGGAACTGAAAACTTTCTGGATTTCTTACTAGTGGTGTCATAACTATCCAATAGATGACTTCATCAAGAAGACCAACAGGAAGTCTGGCAGGCACAGCAATGTTCAACTACCCAAGTGGAGCTGCAATTCCTGCCTCATAGCCTCCACTCAGTAAATACAGAATGAAGCTGCAGTTCTGGAATCTAGCTTTTAGCTCCCCTTGTGAGCACTGGGCCTTACAAGCGTGCCATTAGACTTCTAGAACAAATTCATCAGTATTATATGGGCACACAAACATTGTAGTACTATGTGAAATGGCTTCATTGCCTGCACACACCTGCACATTGCATGCATAGAAACTTCTTTGCAACTCGGTAAGCTGTGTGTAGTACACACAATCAATGGGCTACTCTGATAACTGTTGATTGGGGGCCAAAGGAAGGCTTCAAAAGCCCATGGTGATGGGATTCTTCCAATGCCATGAAGCTGCAGAAGACTAGAAATTAGATTGTAGCTGCTGATGTTCCTATATAAGCACAGCATGTAGGAGTCTGGGTAATTTCTGAATCTGAATAAAATCTTATGGTTAAAGTCAAAAATTCAGGAACATAAAGCAACAAAACGGGAGACTAACACCCAGGAAGGGCTCAGATTAGTACCAGGAATTTTGCTCCATGACTTGAAGGCCAGCCACATGTGCTAGGTGAGAAGGAAGCTCAGATAGAGAAGAGAGCACCAAATAAAGGGTGTTGTGAAGACCCTCCCAGGGTGGGAGAGACATGCTAAAAGTAGTCTATAGACCAAACATGATTGCCACTCAATGCCTCTCTGGCAAAACACAGTACCCAAAAGAAGAGAGAGAGAACAGGGAGGAATGCCCTGCCACAGCGGCAGGGTGGGACGGGTGGGGGGGATGGGGGGGGAGGGAGGCTAGGACCCGTGGGGGGGGAGGATGGGCACTGGTGGAGGGATGGGTACTTGATCATTGTATAACTGAAACCCAAGCACAAAAATTTATAAATCTTTAAGTGTACTTCAGGGTGTTTCACTAATAAAAAAATGATAAAAAAAAAATAAAGTCAAAAATTCAAACTTTCTTCAAACCTTGGATGCCATTGAAAGAAACATAGCATACTAAAGATTGGGGGTACCCCAGATTTTTCCAACCAATCCAGATGCACAGATAACTCGGATCCTTTTTTCCACTAGAGCTTTCAAGGTAGACCTTTTCACCTGTCCTTAGGGTTATGGATTACCTTGAGATTTCCAGAGTTAATTTCAATCTAGAGGTAAAGAATAGGTGTAAAGCTATCAGATGAGATGACTAGCAGATGGACCCTTTCTGACCACATCCATCTCCACCCTCCATTTTGTCTTTGTGATTACTGGAAATCGCACACATATTTAGTTGTGACACTCCTACACATCCTGCTTGACAGGCTCACCCATATTTTAGCTGTGATGCTCAAACATGCCTGGCCATGGTGTGCCAGGCATCCTCGTAAACTCTGTTATAGAACCAGGGGTCCCAGACAACAGAGAAGCAGAGACCTTGCTCAGCATCACAAGGATCTATGCTCATGGCCTCACATTTGTGAAGCAGGCATTTTGCCACTGAGCACTGCCACTTTCTTTCCCCAGAAAGAAACACTTTCTTACTTCCCTTTCTTCCAAGGGGGCATGCCTAGCACAGTACTTGGTGATTCTTGAGATTAAACCTCAGGCTCCACATACAAAACATGTTCTATGTCCCCTTGAGCCATTTCTCTGGCATCCCTTACTCTTCTGTTTATAAATCCAACATCTTATAGGATACAGAGCCAAGACATTTCTATTCGTCCTTGTAGGAGATCTGTGGTATTTATGATTCCTGGACACATCATTTCACTCTGGAGAAGAGCTACCCACCTTAGTGGAGAGAATCAAAACAGAAAAGAATATTCCTGGTTCTTTTCAAAAGGTTGTTCCATTCTAATTTTCAATATGAGATATTAATCTCTAAAAACTTGCTGACACAGCAGATCTTCGGAACACTGTCTCTCTTAAACTTTTTAAAATGCTGTACTATATAGTTTCTCCAGATCAATAACCATGAAGTGGCTCAAAACTGACCTCATAAAGATAAAAGGGTTCCATGATTTACACATTACATGCTTTAGTGAAGAGCTCTCTATAAAAATCTATTTTCCTCTTGGAATACATTACAAAGATAAGCATGCATTTTCATGATATTAAACCCAGCTCTAAAAATAAAAAAAATCAAATTAAGAAGGCAGCAAATCTGACCATATCAATGCAAGTTGGTTAAGTGAATGAACCAGTATATGAATGAAATGAAAGAAAATGAGCTCTCATTGATTACATCAGGGCAAAACTCAGTCCTCTGAGGTACAAATAAAATATCCGAGCTGAATATATAAGAAAATCTAACCTGCAAAGGGAGAAGCTCCAGAGAGACTTCCTACCTTCATTTCCATTCAAGAAGCTAGAAAAGTCATCACCAATTTCCAGGAAATGTAAATCAGATTAGCCTAGAAAACTAGTTATAGTTGGCGATAGTCCTGGCCTTTCACTTCCCTGTTAGTATTCATTGCTTTTGTGTTTATGTTCTCCAGAAGTTCAATTTGCCTCTCCTATCTGTACTTTTTGTCCTCATTTCAGTAGTTTTTTTATGTTACACTTTTAGTTTTTACTTTCAAGTTTTCTTATTTTTAAATCTTTACTTGTTTTTTGAGGTCAGCTTTTCTTTAATTTTTTTTATTAGTGAAACACCATGAGGTACAGTTGTAGATTTACAAATTTTTGTGCTAGGGTTTCGATTATACCTTGATCAAATACCCATCCCTCCACCAGTGCCCATTTTCCACCACCATGGATAATATCCCCCCCCCATCTCCCCCATCCCACCCTGCCTCTGTGGCAGGGCATTCCCTTTTGTTCTCTCTCTCCTTTTGGGTGTTGTGGTCTGCAAAAGAGGCATTGAGTGGCAAACATGTTCAGTCCATAGTCTACTTTCAACATGCATCTCCCCTCCTTGGAGGATCCTCCAAACACCCTTTATTTGGTGCTCCCTTCTCTTTCTGAACTGCCCTTTCCCCTAGAATGCCCGGCTGGCCTCTAAGCTATGGAGTAATCCTCCTGGTGTTGATCTCAGCTATTCTTGGGAATTAATCTCATATTTTGTTATTTTATATCCCCCAGATGAATGTAATCTTTCTATGTCTATCCCTCTCTTTCTGACTCATTTCGCTTAGCATGATACTTTCCATATTGTATTGAGGTCAGCTTTTAGTTTCTGGTTGGACACCATAATTTTATATCTGAATCAGTCATGCTTTGTGACAGTGCTTCCCAGTGTACCAATATACAGACCATCATTTCTGTAGCCCATACTCTATTCCATGTGTTCCATTACTAGTACCAGATGATACTGCTTAAGAATCTTTGATGCCTTTCCAGCATTCTTTGCTTCAGACTAGCTTCACTCAACATGGATACTTTTCAGATCCATCCATGTAGCAGCAAATTGCATGACTTCATCATCTTTTCTTACAGCTGAGTAGTATTCCATTATGCATACACACACACACACACACACACACACATATATATATATATATATATATCATAGTTTCTTTATCCAGTCATCTGTTCTTGGGCACTGGGTTGTTATCTATATGCAGAATGGGAAATGGAGGGAAACTGGTAACATAGGTAGAGGTAAGTGGACACTAGTGAACAGTGTTGGAACATTCTACTCCTGAAACTAAATCATAATAACTTTGTAACTTTGTAATTCATGGTGATTCAATTTTAAGAATCAGAATCTCTGCTT